AAACACAGTAACAGATGAAGACGCTATGGGGAAAGTGTCGTCTTAGACACTGCTGGTGGTCATAAAAATCAGCTCAGCTGCTAAGGACAAAAGTGTAGAAATCTCTAAAGAGAGCTAAACTGGAGTTGCCATGTGCCCTGGCGGTGACGCTCCTGGGAAAATGCCTGAGAGAGTAGATGCTGGCGCACTCCAGACCTGCTTGCACATGTTTGTGTGCCAGTACCCACAATGACTGAGTGAGGGGAAGGATGAGAAACTGTATTGTATGTATATAGTGGAGTCTTACTAAGCCCCAAAGAAGAATGAAATTATGTCCTTTCCAGGAAACGAATGGAACTGAAGAAGGCAAATACCATCCGTTTTCTCTCATGTGTACATCCTGACTTTATACACAATTAGATAGATACTGTGAAAGCAGAAGGGAGAATGTTTGGGAAAGGGAGGGAGTAGTGTCAGGTCAGAGGAGGAAGTAAGTAAGACAGACATAGGGGCTGAATGTGTCGGGGTCTATGGCGTTCTTCAATGAATGTGTCTCTATGAAGTTCATCATTATGTACAACAAATAAGCATTAGATCAGTGTCTCGGCCGGGCATCATTTCAGAAGCTTCCTCTTGCTGTCTCTGAGAAGTAACACAGACACAGAGACCTGCAGCTGGGCGACGGGTCAAGTGAGAGACCTTGAAACCGTGCTAAATGAGATCCTTCACCAAACCCTCAGGAAGCGATGCAGAAGAGGAGACAGATTGTGAGAGACAAGGGGGATGGAGGACACCAAGAAAACTCCTCTAGACCCAGCAGGACCGATGCACATGTGAACTAACTCGCAGAGACTGTGAGAGCAGGCACAGAGCCTGCACAAGGTCAAGGTAGGCAGAGACCCAGAGCTGAGGAGGGAAGTAGGCATCATCTTCTATCTCTAAGCAGCAGCTACCTCCAATTGGCAATCACTTGCAAAGGAAAAGTTAGTTTTCTCCAATGGCAACTCCCTGGGTATATAAACCACACTTAAGGAGGCTCCATGCCCAAGGGCCGATGGCAACAAACGAACTCAATGTTGTTTGTGTAGATTTATTTTTGTCACATCCTGCTTTGTTTGGGCATAAGTTTTTTTCAGTCTTACTGGTCTTTGGCTTGTGTATCATGGTTTCTGATTTCGTGGCTTTGTTTTGGTGTGTGTGTGTGTGTATGTGTGTGCATGTGTGTTTCTTGTACTTTCTATTTCTTTTTTTAAATTATGGTTTGTTTGTTTATTTGTCTGGTTTTTTCCTAAAGAGAGAGAGAAAAAACATAAAATTGAATGGGAGGAGAGGTAGGGAAGAGATGGAAGGGGAAATGTGATCAAATTATATGAAAAAAAATATTTTTAATAAAAAAAAAACACAAGAGCGGTGATATTCTTAGAAGGTAAAAGTGCTTGCTGCCAAGTCTGATGTCCCGGATTTGATTCTCTGAACCATACAGTGGAATGAGAGAACTGACCTCCATATATGTGCACCGCACCCCACGCTTCCCCCACGCACACACAAAATCACTTACTAAATGTATATTTTTTTAAAATAGTCTTTCATATTCTCACACTAGGGAAGCTAAAGTAGGAGAATCACAGTCTGAAACTGCCTGGTAACTGGCTGAGAGATTTTGCCTGTTTTAAAGGTAGGCACGCCTGGAAGAAATTGGCCTCTACGAGGAGGCATCCAACAGAGGGTGGGAGAGGAGGGTGAAGATTAGTGCTCTGGACACCCCTCTGCTCGTGGGAGCTGACTTAAGTCCTGATGGCAGATAGAAGCCAGGCAATTTTGCTTAGTGATAAAGAAGACATTTCACACCCTTTAGTTGCCCTGGCCTCACCCTGAGGTTACATTTCTAGTGCTGGGCTCACAGAGTACGCTGTGCCCTCGGAGGCTTTTCTCCTTTATAAAGTTAGAATGTTGGTTTTGTGTCTGAGTGTTAGAACTGTGGGGTGGGTTTAACACTAATAGCCTCTGGAAAGGAGTTGGCATAATGCTTGCAGCATGAAATATGGAAAAGACTTGGGAAGCTAGTCCCAGAATTGAGATTAAGATGTGACTGGGTCAAAACCAGAACTCTTAGAAATTAAAACATCACTATAGTGATTTAAAATATAATAACGGGTGATTGCATTGCTGGGGCACTTTAATTACGTGTGCTTCAGGGCAAAGAAACAGCCAATAGCATCGGTACCAGAGGCCCTTGGTCTGGTGTCCAGCGGCCTCTGGGAGAGCCAGGTTATGTGCAGAGCTGATAGGACTGTCATGCAGCCCTCTCCCTCATCTTCCACTGTCTCCTAGGAGAGATTCCTGCAGCCCATAACCTTGTCTGAGTATGTAAATCGCTCACAGACCACGGGGTTCTATTGGTAATAATCTTATTCAGTCATATTCCTCCCAGCGTGACTATTGAGGATAGCGTGTCTACTTAGGGCATACAGCTCTGTGAGGTTTCATATTTCACTAAACTTCAGGGCATCTTTATCACTTCCTCCAAAGTCACACTCTCATTGGTAAACATTCCCTTTCTCTCTTCCCCAAACCGAACAGCCACCAGCTAAATTCTGTGTCTCCAGATCTCCCTGTCTTAGATAGTGCCACAATGTGTGGCCCACTGCAATTATTCAGCCTCAACCAATGGGCATGCGGGTTGTTGATGTATTAAACTGAAGATGCTCCCTGGTGTCTCATTGTCCCACTGAAAACCGTTATCATAAACAAAAACGTGCATTTTCTCTCTCTGACCTGCCGCGTCCGTTTCCTTTCCCTGCTGCTGTGATAATACACCCTAATGGCAGCAATGTAGTGAGAAAGGTTTCATTTTCGCCACAGTTTTAGAGAGCAGTCTGACAGGTGGGAGGTGCTAGCCGCAAGAGTTTGGGGAAAGCAGCCCAGTTGTATCTGTGTTTAGGAAAGAGAGAGCAATGAATTCTTGCGCTCTGCTAGCTCTCTCCTTTTTCTTTAGCACAGGACCCTAGCCCAACAAATGGTCTTCTCACCTGAATTAACCTAATCTGCATCATCTCTCACGACTGTGGCCAGAGGCTAGTCTAATCTAGGTGACCCTCACAGGCATGGCCAGAGGCTAGTCTAATCTAGGTGACCCTAATGGGTGTGCCTAGAGGCCTTTTTCCAGATCCTGTCAAGTTGATACCTCAGTATTAACCCTCACATCCACCAAACAGCAAGCCTTAACCTAATCTTCATTAAACATTCAGAACACTGAGACAAAGTCATCTAATACAAAGCCCATCTTGTAATAAAGTGCTGAAAATCTCTTGTACACAAACAGGGGGCACTTTGTAGACTTGACGGGATCAAAACAACCTCACTGTGACACAGTCGTTACAGACTATCAATCATCCGCCTCCCACTCCCATGCTTGACCCGTAGCTGCAGGTTCTCATCTGTGCTCAACACAACCAGAGCACACTGCACTGTGTTTATTGCCAGCCCAGGAAAACACCAGACTTCGAAACTCAAAGTATTGTTTCTGTGGCATGCATATCTGACAAAATAAGTTCTGAGAATTATAGGAAAATCTGTCATGCTAGAGATCATTTATATTACAAATAATGATGCAATGAACATTCGTGTACATTTTTTTCTGTGTGAATATTTCCTTTTTTTGTGCATCTATAGCTTGGCAAGAGACTCCTGGATTAGACAGTGACACTGTCAACATTCTCAGCAATAGTAAACTGGTTTCCAAAGTTCCTGCATCATTTTACAGTCAAGAAGATTCTGATTTTTGACATTTTCCCTCAGAGCTTGTGTTTACTATGTTTTTGTTTGTTTGAGATATAATAGCTCTGCCTACTGTGAGCATGGTCTCTCACTGTGAGTTTGATTTAAATTCTTCTAAATCATCATCTAATTATCAGTGGTCCTGATGATATTTCTATACACTTGTTTGCAGTTTGTAAAGGTCTGTTCTTTGGAGAAATGTGTGTTCAAATAACTTTGCCTTTATTCAATCCACCACCTTTTGTTGATAGCCTGTGAAAGTTTCTTTTTCTTTATGGAGAAAAGTTGTCCCTTTGAAGTCCTGGTAGTCCAAACTAGCCTTAAATTTCCTGTCTCCTAGCCTCTACTTCCCAAGTGGCAGAATAACAAGAGTCTGCCAACATGCCCAGCTTTCCAGTCATCCTTGAGAGTAAACATGTGGTTTATTTTTATTATTGTTGTTGTTTTAATGTAGTCCAACTTTTCTCTTTTTATTGTTGTTTGTGTTTTTAGTTTCATCTATAAGAAATTGCTTAAAGTAAAAGTAAAGATTCACGCTGGTGTCTTCTGGTGAAAATTTCATGGTATGCCTTATTTTGTTTGCTTTGTTTTTTGTTTTTTGAGGCAGGGTTTCTCTGTATAACATCCCTGGCTGTCCTGGAATTCACTCTGTAGACCAGGCTGATCTCAAACTCACAGGCTCTGCCTGCCTCTGTCTCCTGAATGCTGGAGTTAAAGTCATGTTCTACCACAGCCCGACTGGCCTGGCTTTTAAGTTTAGGTTTAAGGTCTTTTATTTTTAAAATCAGGAAATAATGCTAACTCTGGAAAAGGAGCAGGAGGAGACACAGGGGAGACTAAAGTCTCTCCTGAGAGATGGCTTAGAGGGTGACCGGCTTCCTCTTAGAGGTGAGCTTATTCTCCCTCTCAAAGTTTTGTGGCTAGATGAAGAGAGAGACCTGGCAGTATTGCCGGCTCCTGTCCCTCCTGTACTGAGTGCAAGCTCCTTGTGTCCCTCTTTCCAACCCTTTCACTTCCCTGGATAGCCAATACCATTACCATTCCTACTCCCATATGCAGGGACTAAACAAACCAACCAACTCATTTGTGTTTCATAACCAGAAAAACGGCTCTGTACATTTCTAAGCTACTATGCAACTTGTTTCCTTGTTAGGCATTACTATTTCCCCAGTTCTGTACTCCTCGAGGTGATAAAACTCTAGCCTTTCCCCCAAGATACTCTGGGTGTTTAGTAAATGACTGACCTGAAGGTATCTGAGTAAGACCGAGGAAGACTCTAGTGTTGCCGTGTTTTTTCTCCCTCTCAGAATGAAGCATCTTTGGTCACTGGCATTCCTTGCCCCTCCCTGGAACAGAATCACCTTAACATTCTTTCCTTTCAGGCAAACATTCTGTTCAAAATCAGAAGTTCCAGTGATGTGGTTACTGGTCAGGTGGGGACACGCTCAAGTAGATACAGAGTTGGCCATTATTCTTGGAGATGCTTAATTACAGATTAAAACACTCCTTCCTCTAAGCTAATCGTCAAATGTGATAAAAATATATTCATGTTTGGTTTTGTCTTCCCTGCCCATGAGAGGCAACTGGGAGAATGGTTCTACAGAAGTGCCCACAAGGCAGTCTGCCAATGGTAGATTGTGTAAGGAGGAACACCGTGGTTGGAGCTGTACTGAGCATGTGCAAGCTTTAGTTCATTATTCTCTAAACAATACCATATAAAAAGAGTTTTCATAGCTCTTACATCCTGAGCTGTTATGAGTAATATAGAAAGATAGAGAATGCACACAAGAGGATGTATGAGAGCCATCCATAGACACTGTCGGATGAGGAAAACAAAGCACCAGACACTCAGCCCTCACTTCAAAGGCAGTAAGAGATCATTTATTCTGGAGCCAACTAATAGCAGCCAGGGCCCAGGAGCATGGTTTCCCCAATCTCATGCTTCTGTGTGGCCACGCTTTCGTGGAAGTTGTATAGTAATAGAGCCAAGAAAGTTGAAAATCAACACTTTCCAAATGTATTGGTAGAAACCTCAGTGAGTTACTGTAAAGTTGGGCACCTCTGTTCTCGGTCTTGGATGCTGTCTGTGGACATTCTCGTCTCCTGGGCTGATGTAATCCAGTCACCTCTTAAGTTAATGTACCCCAAAAGGTTTCACACAATCATCGCAAGAACATTAAGCGAAAGACAAAAGTGGGCAAGGAATAGTTACTAAGGGGGCTAAATATACTTCCCCCAAAATTGTAACCAGGCTCTGGACCTACAGTACCCCAAACTCTGCGCAATCACTGCACTTCTCAATGGCCTTCTTAGAATGTTTAATGCCTTTGGGGGGATTTTAGCCACATGATCCATTAGTATCTAATAAATCCTAACCAAATCCCCATCTTTTGTGACATGGAAGAAAAGCTTTCGGTAGTGGAGAGTGCAGCCAGATTAACCGGGCATAAAAAGGAGTGGTCAATGCCTTTTTGTTGAAGAAAGAGAACTGTATCTGCCAGCTCTAGCTCAGAACACACAAAACTGATTAGTTCTTACAATCTGAAGATAGCAATTCCTACATTTTATCAGATCTCACAAGCAGTGATCCGGGCTGTGAATTCTAGTTCTGCAATATTGGAGAATAATAACAGTATTTTATCATGTCATTTAGCATTCACACATGCAGACCCATGGGTGCAGACTTTGTCTACCATTCCTCCAGATTTCGAAAACTGGATTGCAGTATACACTTCCTTTTGTGAAACCTATAACTATGCTAAAATTAATTTTGAGGGGTCTGGAGCCTCTGCTCAGCTGTTAAAACCATGGGCCGCTTTTTCAGAAGACCTGGATACAACTCACAGTACCCTATGGTGACACACAACAGTCTGTAACTCCAGTCTCAAGGGATCCAGAGTCTTCTTCTGACCTCCTCAGACACCAGGCATGAACATAGGTGCATAGACGCATATTGCACACAAGACATTCACATACATGAAATGATTAAATACATCTAAAAATTAAACATTACAAACACTGGTTCAATTAAAGCAAAAAATGTTTTGGGACAGTTTATGTTTTAAGGGTGGAGAAATAGTAACCAAAAGTTATCCTTAGACACTGAGGACTGTTTCTAGACATTCTTGCTCATAGTTTCTATATTATGCCAGGCACTGGTCTTGTCTCCACATATTTGATGTGTGCAGGATTAGCTGTATTTGATGTGTGCAGGATTGGCTGTATTTGATGTGTTCAGGATTAGCTTGCTTGCTCTCCTAGAAGTTGTCTTAATTCTCACCATTTTCTCAGAAAGGAAATTAAGCGACAAAGAACTTTTTAAATATAGCTCCCACATAGCACAGTCAAGATGCAAATCTAGGTTTGAAAATGTATCTAAGAAAACTGAATTTGCACATGTTACAGTCAGCAAGTTCACCATGCCGTGGGGCACTATCCAGTTGTGTGATAACAAAGGAACTGAAACAAGCTCTAAATTCCTTCCCTAAAGAAAAAGATAAAGAAATCACAGTATGTCTATAGGAATAACAGACTAAAACACAACAAGATGAATGAAACTGTGTGTGACGTGAATAACCTCACAACCTAAAGAAGTCTAATACAGTGCAGAATAGGCGGTGTGACCCCATCATAAAAGCAACCTTCTTATCCTTACCTTCCGGGTCCTTCCTCTCTCACAGGTCTGACTCTGGCCAATCTCCTAGGAGTAACCTCCACCTGCTGATTTCCTATTTTTAAGTAAACCCTTGGGAGCACTATACATTTCTATAAAGAAGCACATGGGTTTTGATTTTTTTAAGGTAATGCCTTTCAGTATTACATCAAGTAAATAATTAAAGGAAAAGACAAAAGCTTGGAGAAATGGCTCAGCTTGTAAAAGTGCTTGCTGTCAAACCTGATGATCTCAGTTCAGGCCCTGGGTCCCTCTGTGTCAAAAGGAGAGAGCTGCCTCCCACAGGCTGTCCTCTGGCCTCCATATGTGTGCTGTGACATGCATGCATCCTCCACGACACACACATTAAAAAAAAGTTGGCAGGTAGATCTCTGTGAGTTTGAGGCCAGCCTGGTCTACAGAATGAGTTCCAGGACAGCCAGGGCTACACAGAGAAACTCTATTTCAAAAAACCAAAAACAAATACAAAACAAAAAAAATGCAAAGAAAGGGAGAATAATGTTCAATTTTAATACATATTTTAAGGATTGTGGAAATAAAAATATAAGATAATTATAATACATGTAACTAAGTTTTATGCCCAAAATATAAAAAGTTTCTTTGGAAATCATTCAAAATTCGAAATATCAAGTAAAACAATGAGCAAATAAGTAGATAGAAAGAGAAGAAAAGAAAATGTTCATTTCTAGGAAATATTGCATGAATTGGGTTCCCTGGATAACAGCTATGAGATGGTTTGCTTATCTGAGGCTACCATGAGGAACAGTATCCATACGGGAGGACCAGGGCTGAGCAGAAATCTACCGAGCTGGAAATCCATAGCATCAAACACTCCAGATATTCTAAACCAAAGTTTCACAATTTGTGAGTCACGACCCTGTTTGAAATAAAAGATCCCAGAAGTCAGAGAAAATTGAGTGGCTAGCATCCTCATGGCAGAGGCTGCTTAACTGTGGCACAAGAGAGTTGTGGGAGTTTAGAAACAGTTTGGGCCTTGAAGACTTAATATGTGAATCTGGAATCTGTGCTTATAGTAAGCACAAGGCCTGTCTCATTTAAGGTGGCCTTCTCATCTTCTGGTTGATGCAAGGTTGCAAGGGTTCAGTTTAATGCACTGGCGACAGTGTATAGAAACAGTTTAATCCAGTGGTTCTCAGCTTTGTTAATGCTGTGACCCTTTAATATAGTTCCTCATATTATGGTGACCCCCCAACCATAAATTTTTTTTCATTGCTACTTTATAACTGTAATTTTACTATTGCTATGAATCTCAATGTAAATAGCTGTGTTTTCCTAGAGTCTTAGGCGACCTCTGTGAAAAAACCATTTAGCCTATAGAATTTAAAGTATGTTTTAATAAGTCAACAGTACATGTAGACAGGTGATGTATTTCTTTGAAGGCCAGATTTGGGGTTGTTTGCTATTGACATTGCCCCCATATGCTTTCCCGTCTTCTCACAAATTAGACGGTGATTTCTTAACTTTCAATTTTATTTTTCTTATGTACCAGAGAGAAACATATAATCAATCATCACAGTTCCCATTTTTCCTTGCTTCAAGAAATAAAAAGATAAAAGAAAAAAATGTGTTTTCTGAAATATGACTATAAATTCAGAGGAAATGTGATAAGAGCTGAAACTGGTTCTGTGGGAGTAAGAAAATGGTAATTTATTGGAGCCAGGCAGGAATAATTTATTTAAATGTGGGTATAGTTCAAGTTATTTTTAAATGGAAGTGTGTTAAGTCATGAAAAGGTGTGTTTGTATTCTGGTGTATAATTGATTTGGATCACTTACAGAAGTGAAAATGTAAACACAAAGTTTACATTTAAAATGCAAGGAAAGAAAAAAAAGAAATCTCATAGACATTAGCTACTTCTGTCTACCTTTATTCTATTAATATTTATTATTTTAGATATGCTGCATTTATTTTAGATAATTTTCGAGCCAATTAAATAAGAGACTATATTTTTAAATGGGAACCTGATTCCAGCAGTGTGCAAACAACTCTGCAGTGGGCGTGTGCACCCGTGAAGGAGGAGAAGGCAGAGGACATGCGCACCCGTGAAGGCAGAGAGGGCAGTGGGCATGCGCACCCGTGAAGGCGGAGAGGGCAGTGGGCATGCGCACCCGTGAAGGTGGTGAGGAAAGAAAAAGACCAGGAACCAAAGGCCTCAAGCATTTCTTCTCTGCCTCAAAGACTACAGCTGGCTACATAACACTTTGAGTACACTGATGGCAGGAAGGCAGAAGTGTGCCCAGCTGTCTATTCTAAGACAATAGTAAGAAAGTGTGGGAGGTGGTTTTTAGAGAGAGCAATTTTAATTTCACTTACAAAATTATGGAATTAATTTAGGGAGCGGAGAAAATACTATTTCCTATTTAATCCCACTTTTTGAAGCACTTTATAGTTAAGCTACAAATAACCAGCAAGGATTTATACATATTGTGCATCTAATATGTCAGTTAGCTTCCCAATACTCTAGGAACTTATTAATAATTTAAATGTAATATGAAATGACACATATATTGCACAAACTAATTATAATCATAATATATTCTGGACAATTGGATAAATGTAATAAAATGTAGCACAAGTAATAAATGACAATAAAACTTTAAAATATTAGTATTCAACTAGCACCTAACTAAATAACAAATCTCATGTTTTTAAAATAATTATCTAATGAATAAAAATATTTTGTAGGGACATTTGGTGCGGAGAGGGGAGTGATGTAGTCTCACATGTTGATAGCAAAATACAGAGGAAGAATTAGCAAAAGCAGGTGTGTGAAAATAAAAAAAAAACAACCTTGCCATATAACTATTAATATTTGATCCCAAAGTCCCAGCCAGTATGCGCTCTTCTCCCCCTAGACTCTCAAAACAGCTAAGGAGAAGGGCTGCTGGAGGGTGCAAAGAGAAAGTCTGTTCGGATTTCCTTTGTTTAAATCTGTCAACCCTAACAGAAACCTGTCGTTTAACCATTTTTAATGTGATATATATCTCCAGACCGCCAGATAAGTCAATAGTACTAGTTTTCTAAATATTATTTAATATTTTTGCTATCAAATATCACCTCCTGCCCTGCCTTCCTCTCGCATCATTGATGAGTAAGCAAATGGTTGAATGTATCTTCCTTCTCTTGTTAGTTCTACCAGCAGGGATTTTTAAAATCCCTTTTCTATCGCTCATTTTCATTCTCTGAATATGTATCTGTTGTGAGTAATGCAGACGAGGTGAACGTTGTTCTACTTAAGGCCTCTAAACGGTGAGATGAGGAAAAGGAATGCTTTTCTGAGACTCCGGAGGCACCGACAGAGCTCATGAATAACTCCCGCACCTGGAGCCAAGAGGCCACCAAAGGTGTCCCGTGCGTTGTTGAATTATTAATAGATTAAGTTGTTTTTCGGGTGGGTTCAGCAAACGTTTCATTTGTAAGAGCAGTAGCAGGCAGGAGGAATCAGCATATGCCAGTTTGTAAGGAGACGCAGCTCACTCTGAAAACCGGGAGGGAATTGTGTCAGCGGCAATAGGAGGGACAACCAGGGACCTGACAGGAACGACGACCGCTGTATAGAGAGAGAGTGGCGAGCTACAACATGTCAGCTGACAGGTGACTCTAGGAAAGGTCTTCTGCACTCTGTTCCTACATCCGTGGTCGACCCTGAAGTTCACGGCAAACACCTCCCGTGAGATGGTCCCCTTCCCTGCAGTAAGCTTTGCTGCCTCTGGGGGTCAGTGCAGCTGGAGAGAGCAACAGGATACACGCCCCAGGTTCTCACTAGGAGGAGGTTAGCTCAGAGTCATGGTCCACAGGTCCTCAGAGAGCTGTCGGCCTGATTAGGTCCCTGGGAGCCGCAGCAACAGCACCCTCAATAACGGTCCTTCTTTGGTTCTCTTTCTTTTCCTGTACAACCATCCCCTCCCAGCGCTTACCAGAACCACCTTAGTAAATCAGCTGTCACAAGTGCTTGTCTCTGAGGAAAACCAGAAACAGTCATCCAAGAAAGAATTCCAAGTCTCTTCTTAGTATCGGGCAATGGCTTTTATGACGGCAGACAGGAGTTTTCCAAGTCACATGTGCCTCTCCAGCAGCTCAGGCACATCTGTCTAAGGCCCAGTGAAAATGTGCTATGTATTATGGCTTCCTTGCAGGATGTTTGGAGAAAGTCAACAAAAAGACTCGTGTTCTCCCCAGAGTTCCATGGGAAGAGACAACAGGAGTTGCTGAGACAAGAATGAGGAAGACTTAGGGGAAGCAGGCGCTGGTGCCTGGCAATCTTGCGATGCCCCAGAGACCTCCAATACAAACGGTGGTGACACAGGGCTTCTTCTCCGGTGTTAGGGAAGTAGCTCTAGCCATGTTCATTCAATATCAAGGAAAATGGTAATCAAATCAGGTGGAAGACTGGAGAAGATGAAGATGGCTGATGTGGTCTTCATGGCCATCAGTTCCTTGAACTTTCTTCTCCGGGGTGCAGTAAGGTCAGAGAGACTAGGTGCGTCCCCTTCAGCGAGGTTAATGACTGACGTAAGGCCCAAGTGAAAGAGGCACTCTTCATGGTTCGGAGGAGGCTTTCAGTGTGCAGCCTGGACTGGGCTGGTTGGGGGGTGGGGATGGGGACGTGCTGACAGTTACCCTGAACCCCAAGGACCTGGATGATGTGCACGTGTGAGGCTGAGAGAGAGGCAGTCCGGGGACCCAACCGTGTGATGAGCGCACGGAAATGAAATTTGTAGCACATGTTTTAAATAAATGCATTGATTTTTATATAATAGCAAATGAATACAAAAAAATGAATACAAATTGATTTTTAATCGAAAAAGAATGTGCCTGTTATATTTAGAACAGCAGATTTACGGGCCACCAGATCGTTAATTATTTCATAAACTTTAAAGATCATGCTTGAATGAATTGTTCTAACAGATATTTATTATCAGAAGCATCAGTGCCAAAGGGACAAAAGGTGCCGCATGCAAGCGGTCTGCTGTGACGGTGAAGTCAGAAAGACAGTGAGGTACTTCTCCCTCCGTCCTGAGGAAGCTGGCATCATCACTCCGGGACGGTTTGTTTTGCCTTGGTTATCTGTAGCTCTAACAGTTCGATCTCGCGAGACAGCTTGTAAACCTCCAGGGCCATTTTCACATCGTTTGGATTTGACAGACATCGCATCAGCTTCCTGCCTGCGAACACACGCTCACAGTCTTTCTCCTGAAAGAGATGTAGGTTTGGGGTAGCAGTGAGTGGCTTCAGGTGAGCACCAAGAAAGGGAGAAGCATGCCATCACGTGGTCTAGAAAAACAGGAGGCGGTACTCCTAGATCTATGGAACTTCACTTTTACGGGCTTCGGTATCTCACATCCTCAAACAAAAATAGAAAAATGTGGTGTGGCAGCTTATCAGAAGTCTTCGAGGAAAAAACAGG